CATTTTCTATATGTTACCCAGGAGGGGGGGAGTGGGTGTACAGAGGCGTCGGGATGTCCGGGGATCCGGAAGGAGGGCCCTATGGTTTGTGGCTGCTTTCGGGGCAAATGAGCCCTGCAAATGGTGCATGCAAAGCGTGTGCGCTGATTGCGCCCAATGATTGCGCAAACGGGCAGGCATGACGGAGCGTTTTGGCCATGACATTTCCCCGGGGAATTGGGTTAGCAGTTGCAGTGGCAAAAATGCACAGAGAAAAATAGAAAAAACAAACCGGAAATGTACCCGGCTACCAGTCTGTATGGAACGTTGCCTACTTTTTGGCTCAAGAGTGCAGGAAATATTTTAGAGCTGAAATAAAATGGAGTTTTCTTTGAAGGAGATGGGATTTGGTAAGGTTTTTTAAAAGAAATATTTAAGTTTAAATGGGAATTTATATTTTGAGAGCAGATATAGCTAATTTTTGTTTGTAAAAGCATTTAAAAAGTGGTATAAGCCAGAGTTCATAGCTCTATCTTGTTCTACAGTAGTTTATCTTCACGCTAATCTTACTTATAAAATATTTTAAATTAAAAAAGCTTGTAAAACTTTAATAATAAATATTTTTGTGTGTATTACTAAGCATTTGCAGCACTAGCAGCGACACATTTAGCATCCCACACTTGGTTATCGCACTCGCACCATAACGATTCTGACCCCACGTAGCGCTTGTGACCCCACGCACGCCGGAAAGTATGCCACAGAAAGTTTAAAGCTCAGCGCAGTTCATAAAAATCAACCCAAACCGAAAACACAACTAAATGGAATAACCGAGAATTATGCACTCCTCTCATGAGGCATGCAGACAACTCATGCCGAGTAATTACACAGGGGGGTACAGATGCTTAATTTCCTTATGGGTATGATTATTTGAGTAATTAGTGAACAAATATTTAAAATAAATAGGGAGTAAGTAGCAAAGTAAGTTATATAACATAAATTTGTCAGGTATAATTCACTAGCATAGAGTTAAGATATGGATATTAATTTTTAAAGATAAATTTATATATATACTTGATAAAAAACTTCTTCAAAACTTATTTCTCTATAAGAAAATAAAGTTTGTTTTGGGCAATGAAGTAATAAATATGCCCAAAACTTATAAATGTATTGTAATACATCTTAAAATAGTACTCAATGAATTTGGAAATAAATTTAAAACTAAGTATTCTATTTTCATCAACAAAAATGATTTAAAAACCAATATTAATAAAACTAAAAATACATATAAATAATTATCATTCATAGTGAAGAGTATTCAACATTCTCATTCCCTCTTTCATCTCTTTCCCATCTGTTTTCTCCGATTTTTGCGTGACGGAGGCGTGGCCGGAAGGGTGTGAAGTTGTAGGAGCGGGGTGAACCTCATAAATTTGCGGCGCTAATGCCATAATGCCGTTTTATGAAGATGAAAGTCGTGCGTTTATTTCATTAAACAAATAATAACAGCCGAAAATAAACCGCAGCAGCAGCACCAAGGCTTCCTCCCAACCCTTGGCTTGGCTTGGCTTGGCTTCGCTTGCCTTGGTCTGGTATTTGGCCCCAGCTATGCTCACCCTCCCTTCCCGCAGGACATGGTGCTGCCATCGTATCCAACGGCTTAATGAGTTGCTGCCGGCACATGCCTCATTGAAGGTCGAAAGGCTTACTCCCAGATACACTCCCCGCAATTGAATTTATGGCAGCACATGTACATGTTTGGGGCAAGGGCGAAACTGTGTAAATATTTCTTATGGCATTAACGCAAATTTGTTAACAAATTTGTTTGTGCCTACAAACGAATTAGCCGACATTCCCGGCTCGACGTCAATTAAGTCGCTGCTGATTCCCAACTTGCAGTCTCAATTCGGAGGAAGACTCTTGGAGTCCCCAACTCTGGGTTCCTCTCTCCCTGGGCGCGGGTAAATAAATCAGTCCCAATAGAATCTGCAGACATTTAAGTTGCCGAGCTGTACGGCTGGGTCTCATATTTCAAGCTGCTTGTTAAGTGCATGTTTTATGATTATTATCGCAATAAAAACTCGGAAGCTTCAGCCAACAGGCGCCTAGGCGCTGTGCCTTTGCCTTTGCCTTTGCCGCAAACAAGTAAATGATACGCCCTAGTCGCAATCCTGACTGCAGGACTCGCGCAGGGCAGACAGGTGGGCCCAGTGCCTGGCCGGGGCATTATAAAGGCAATAAGATTTTCAAAATACGACAATTTATGCAATAAACTTTGAAATTTATGCCATTTCGTCGGCACAGACGCAGCAGTAGCTGTAGCAGCAGTAGCAGACATCCTGTCCCCGATCCTTTGCCGATTTTTTGCCACGACTAAGCTAGCTCTTTCTGCTCAACGGTGGTGGTTCCTTTTTTTTCTTTATGGCCTGCCCGAGTGCTCAAGTATCCAAGGGGCTGACGTCTTAAAGTCAATCCTTGCGCTAATCCCCAGCAAGTGCGTTCCCGTTGACGATGCGACGTTCACTTTTGACTCTGCAACTTTATTTTTTAGATGGAAACGCTAACCGTTTCGGGCGAAACTCGATTGTCGCTAATGTAAATTTATTTGCGCCGAAAGTTGTGCGAGTTTTGGGCTTGGGATTTGCATGAAATGAGATAAGCAAGTGGCATTTTGCCTGGAAGGCAGAAAAACAAGGCCACTGCTGCTGCTCCTGCTGTTCTGTTGCGGCTTTGTGGGGTTAATAATAAGTGGAAGTTTCGCCAAACTGGTGGATGCTTATCCTTTTTTGTTGGCTTAAGCCTTTTCTGTTGGTAAAATATTTCTTAAAGGAATAATAAACATGTAGGTGGGTATATAAATGTATAATGATGTATACTTATTTATAACTGGGAATTATAAATATTATTGAACAACTTTTCAGTGATTTTAAAAATATATAAAATATTTGTAATGATTTTAGGGTTTTCATGAGAAATAAGTAAGCATTTTTTGAAACAGAATTTTGATATTATGACAAGTTCTTTTTAGTTATATGGGCATTTCCACAGAAAAGTCAACCACGGCCAAAACACTAAAACTTCTCTAAAATGTTTTTTTCCAACATAGTAACATAAGGAAATGGTCCAATTGATTAAATTTGAAGGGCTTTATCATATTCTAAAACAAATTTCGAAATATTTGAATGCATATTCGCGCAAACACGATTTTTCATTATTTTGATGAAAAACATCATAAAAATGGGCCTGTTTTCTTTTGTTAATTACATCCAAACCGAGGCATTATGCTTTGACTGTTGTTTACTAATATCACTAGAAGAATGCAAAAAGTCGAAATAAAATAGATATATGCTCTTCCAATTTACTTATAATAGTAAAAATTACATGCAAACTATGATGAAAAAATATGTCGCGTGCGAATATGATTAAAATTAAATAAAAAATAAACTACGCTATATTTCTGCTTGTAAATTAAAGCATATGAAAGTGACATTATTGCATCATATTTTAAAATTTGTTTCATTAAAAAAGTCCCTGCCGTTTCGTTGAAATCAGTGTTTAAACAGCTCGCCGCGAAAGTGACTTCTGTTTTTGTCGCGTGCGAATCCTTCAGTTTTTTTTAATTTTCTTAAAATTGAGCAAACACTCAAAATCAACATTTGCACCAATTATAGTCCTAGGCAAGAGCTATAAGTTAACATTTATAAAAATAAAAAAAATTAAATGTACCATACATTTTTTTTGATTTGAATGCGTACGAATGTCGCGTGCGACATTATGGAAATGCCCATATGTAGTTATACAAAATTATAAATAGATTTAGTTAGTAATTTATATATAAAAAACACTTTTTATTCTTTATCTAATAAATTATCCTTTACATGTGTAATAAAAGAAAACACACTCAACCACTAAGATGTCCTTGTAATCTGTCAAGTACTTAGGACTGAAATCAGCTCTTCAAAGAAACCATTTGTTTTGTTTTAAATTCTAGAAGAAAAACAGCAAATAAACCCAAAAAAAAAAAAACTCTTTTACTTTGTTGTCCATTTGATAATTAAAATTTTGTTGCCCACTCTTGGCCAAATCACCATTCCAATCCCTCTGGCTTTTTGGCCATGAAACGTAGCTTTATTAACTCGGCAAAAAACGGTAAATTATATGACTGCTGTAGGTGTTTATATAGCCATAGAGCCATAAACATTGTTCCGGGCCGACGCTATTGCAGCTTTTGTTAAAAAAATATAAAAAATATATTGCCTACTTTCCAACTGAACTTTTAAGCACCCCTCACCGCACCGTCAACCATTCGTCAGTTGATCCGGCCCTGAGTGTGTTTTTTTCTTCTATATATTCTTTATTTTTTCTCTTTTTCTGTTGAGCGAGGATTCCGGACGGGAGTCTCCTTTTTGGGGATTAGGCGAGCGGTCGACCGACCGCCCCTAATCTTTGGCAAATCAACACCCCGAAGAGAGAAAAACATTTCGGTGGAAATCTTTTTTGGCCAGCACACCTGCACCTTTCGCTAGGGCCATTCGGTTGGCCATTTTGGCTAAGCGAGCAATCCCCACCTGCAGCCGATTCATTTGATACCTTGGACTTCTCTGGAGGGTAAGAAAAGCTGCCAATTGAGACTATAATTTACTAGTTATAAGTGAAAGTTGCTCTAAAAATATTTTAAAAATATATTTACATATTTAAAAAGATAAGAAAGACTCATTAATACATTCGACATGTATTTCAACATATATGAAGCTGTCGGGGCCGTGGCAAGTACAAGTCCAGAAAATTCCCAATAAAAGCAGGCAGAGGTTTTGGATGATGTTGATGAGGAGGACAAACGATCCGTCTTCTTTCGAATTTATTTTCAGAGTGATAAAAGAGAGGTACCACTAATATGGCGACAGGTACATTTTCCCCAGAGATGCTCCCCTGGCGATATTGCCCCTTGTTCAGCATGAACATTCTCCCCCCTCGCAAGAGGAATACTTGCGATCTACGAAAGGGAACACCGTCCGGAGAGGATGCTAACCCTTGTGCGCGCCAGGATAGGCGTGCACAACCGGCTGCGGGATGGAGACATATCCATTGGCGTGGCGGGCCGCCGAGGTCCGGATACAGGCGCCTGCTGGCGCTGCTGTGGCTGCCGCTGAGGCCGAGAATCCGAGGGTGGGTTGCGCCTTTGTCGGGGCCGCGAAGAGCGAGGCTGCCCAGTGTGGAGGTGCAGCAGCGTGTGATGAGCCTCCTTGCCAGACGGTTCGCGCAGTACTGGCTAATTAGTACCGCGCGGAGCCGCTTCACAGCCGGCAGTTGGAGAAACCGTTGGCAAACCCTCAGAGCGTGGACTCTCCCGCAGACTCGACATCTGTATACATTGCTCCCGGATGAGCGACGAGGATTTCGGTGGGTCGTTGGAGCCATTGTATACACGGATCTACGTTAAAAACAGAGAAATGGATAAATATGAAAATGAAGTGTTATGGATGAGGATGAACAAGACACGTGGACGGAACGACGACGTTGGATGACACAACTTAGGACTAGTAAATGTCAATTGGAAGGACTAATCTATTGAGGAGTCACTATGGTCAGTGGGGCCGTCCATTGGGAGGCGAATAATTTTCGCCGCTGGTCGTCGGATGACGCCCCATGTTGTGGCGGTCGAAGGTAGAAAAACGCTCCAGGCGGGGTATGGATATGGACCTGACTAGCAACTCTGGCTTTGGATGTCAGCCGATGGGTACACCAGCCATCAGTCGTTTCGACTCGGATGAAAATGGCAGCCCCATACGCGTCCTGGTACTGCAATTTGGCTGCAGGATGGAAACGCACCCATGTCGGACTACGAATTTCCCTCAGGATTGGATACCCTCTCAAAAACTCTTGCCACTTGGTCACAAGGTCGGTGGGGAGTGGCTGATCCCAGCCTAGCTCCCGTAGCCAAATTTCCTGCATGAAAATCTTGGCTCGGACTACGAAAGGCGATAACCACCCTGCTGGGTCGAAAAGTTTGGCTATCTGAGACAAAACCTCTCGTTTGGTGTAGGCAGTTTGCAGGGGGATCACCATTGGAACAAAAAAGAAACTATCGGATGTAGCTTGCCAACGGATCCCGAGAGTTTTCGCCGTGCTGGCATCTTCCAGCTCAAGGAAGTCTGCACTGACCAAATGTTCCCTCGGAATCGCTTGTAGGAGTCTTCTTTCGTTGGAGGTCCACTTGCGCAGTGGAAAACCGGCACTCTCGAGAGCCAGCCGAAGCTCTTTAATGGCTAAAACTGCCGACTGCCGAGTGTGAGCCCCTGCGAGCACATCGTCCACGTACATAAAATTCGAAATGATGTCGCTGGCCAAAGGATATTGGCCTCGGATGTCCTGAGCCAACTGCTGAAGCACTCTGATGGCCAGGAAGGGCGCACAATTTACGCCGAAGGTGACTGTGTCGAGTTCATTGTCACAGAGCTCACCGTATTTGTTGCGGAATAAGATTCTCTGAAAGCGCGTGTGATCAGGATTGACCCGGATTTGCCGATACATCTTTGTGATGTCCGCATTAAAAACATACTTAAAGAAACGCCATTTTAGAATCTGAATAGTCAGATCGGACTGTAGTACAGGCCCCGCATGAAGGATATCATTGAGGCTGTTCCCGTTTGATGAGGGATTGGAAGCGTTGGACACGACGCGAACCTTCGTCGTGGTGCTATCTGGTTTGAAGACAGCGTGATGAGGCAGATAAAAACTGCTAGAGTCGTCAGGGGAGACTTGGTGCATATGACCTAAGTCTAAGTACTCTCGAATGACTGAGTCGTACTGCTCCTTCAATGGAAGATCTTTACTTAATCGCATTTCGTTTCGGAGGTACTGAGCTAGTGCGATGGGTCTGGAATGTCCAAGCTTAATATTGTCCGGCTCTTTAAAGGGCAACGAAACAACATATCTTCCATCCTCACTTCTTTTGGTGGATCGGATAAAGTTCTCCTCGCAAACCGAGGTGGATTCCTTTACTAACTTCACTGGAACATCCTCCACCTCCCCAAATTTGGTGAGGATGCTGCCTGGTTTGGACTCGGTCACTGCTAATCGGGCTGAAAAAGAACAGATTCTGCTTATGGGACTCGTTGCAATAGGACCGCAAAGAGTCCACCCGAATATGGTCTCTTGACCAAGGAGTGTTCCACAAATATTGGAATGGGAGCCTCTGAGCATGATTGATGGCAGGATATCGGCACCAATAAGCACGTCAATCGGCGAGCTCCGGTAGAAATCTGGATCTGCTAGTTGCAGAGGTGGAAGATCCTTTAATGAATCCTCTGGTATAGTGTAGGATGGGAGATTCCCGGCTAACTGTGGTAGCACATACGCACAGGTTTCAATTTGGATATGGGGCTTGACGGGAGAACCTAGTCTGAATTGACAACGCTTACGGGGCTGAGCTGCAACGGAAAGGTTGACCCCTGAAACTTGCGCTTGGATGGACTCATAAGGCAACTTAATCAGGTTGAACAACCGTTCTGAGATAAAGGTTGCCTCGGAACCTGAGTCAATGAGAGCCCGTGCTGAGTATTTGATGCCCAAATGGCAAACTTCTATTATTGCCGTACTCAGGAGGACCCCTTGCGTGTTAACGGCAAGAAACGTTTGCACATTCGCTTGACCCGTCGATGGAGTGGACTGTATATGTTGCTGGATTGCTGTGGATGGATGGGACTGTTGGTCAGGCATAACCACTGAATGGACTGGCGGAGGGCCGCTTCGATGCAGGAGAGTATTGTGACGTCCACTGCAGGTGTAGCAATTATGCGTGCTGTTGCAGTCCCGGAGCAGATGCGTTCTTGCGAAGCAGTTCAAGCACAACTTCTGCTGTTTCACATGTCTCTCTCGATCTGCGACTGACATTCGCAAGAATAGAGGACATACACGGAGTGGATGGTTCTCTTGTGCACAGAGTTTACAGGATTGCGGGTTTACCGTAACTCTGTTTTCGAAGGTTTGGATCGACCGCGAGCTATTGTCAGCCCTCAGTGCCCTGGATTGAACGCTCGCGTTTGGCTTGAACTCCTCAATCGCCTCAAGCGTTCGATGACGATCTTTTAAGAAGGCCTGGAATTCAGCCCAGAGTGGAACCTCTGACTTACTTAGCAGGGACTGTTCCCAAAGAGCCAACGTTAGTTTTGGCAACTTGGACGAGCACAGGAAAACAAGCAGGCAATCCCAATTCGTGGTCTCGACTCTTGCTAATTGCAGGGCCGTTAAACAACCTTGGATTGTGCTCTCTAAATGCTTCAAGGATTTTCCGCATTCCTGGGCAACAGAAGGCAAATTAAACAAGATCTTTAATTGGCTATTGACCAGCAGCCTCTTGTTCTCGAACCGATTCTGCAAGTTTCTCCACGCTGACTCAAAACCATCATTGGTCAACGGAGATAAGGCCACAATGGATTTGGCCTCGCCGCTCGTCTTCGCATTGAGATGGAACAGTTTTTCGACTTCTGAAAGCCGAGGATTGCGTATATAGATGGCGGAGAAAAGGTCCCGAAATGTGGGCCATTGAACATAGTCACCATTGAAAACTTCGCACTCGACTGGAGGTAAGCGACATCCGCCCTGAGACGGCGTCAGATTGGAGGACTGAACAGACTGTTGTGCGCGTGAATCTGCAATGATCTCATTGAGGCTTGCTGCGCACCGCTCGTAAACGGTATAACAGTCGTCATACTTGGATTGCATGGCTGTTATTTTGTCTTTGCAGGTTTGACTGGCCACAACTTCGGAGCACGTCTCATATTCCTTTTCCACCTTGTCCCAGAGGGCCCTGATCTGCTCGAGTCGAACCCTACTCGTGTGGATGGACGGATTTGTGTCCTCATTGGTATTGATTCTGGCTTCAAACTGACTCACCCTATCGGTTATGGTCGTGAACTTCCTCAAGGCCCTGTCTCCCTCAGCTTGAGCCATTCTGCCACTTGCTCTAGTGAAGTGGGGAGATACGACTGACCTTGCGGCTTTTGTGGATGGAACAGACCGTGGAACTTCAAGCGACGTGCTCGAAGATCTTAGTGGAGTTGCGGTTGTCAATGGGCCTTTGCTGCGAGAGGGATTTTCGCTTTTGGAAGGCACAGTAGATTCACTCTTTTCCCTGACTCTGTGAGACTCTTTTTCCTTAGAAACGGCCAAAAAGGATTTTGGTTCCTCACCGTCACCAATTGGCTCTCGTAGCTCTCGTAGGAGCCGGAAAATGTAAGTGAGTGAGGTAGTCTATCGACTTTGACGTGGTTCGGAGAGGGGCCGCTGGATAAGCGCAAAAAAAAAACCGAGTTAATCGAAAAAATGTTATCGATTTCAATTAGTACGGGGACGCTGGATGAAGCGTTCAAAATTGATGGTTATCGATTTTAAATCAATACAGGGACGCTGGATAAAGCGTTCAAAATGGTTATCGATTTGAAGGATAAGGGGGCGCTGGATGGCGCGTTGACACGGATGTACTCGGTTCGAAAGATATGGGGGCGCTGGATAACGCGTAGAACAAATTAATCGAAAAAAATGTTATCGATTTTAAATCAATAGAGGGACGCTGGATAAGCGCAGGAAAACAGAGTTAATCGAAAAAATTATATTTATCGATTTGGAATAAGTGCAGGGACGCTGGATAAGCGTAAATAAACAAATAATACTCGAAAAGGATGTTATCGATTTTAAATCAATACAGGGACGCTGGATAAGCGCAGGAAAAACAGAGTTAATCGAAAAAATTATATTTATCGATTTGGAATAAGTGCAGGGACGCTGGATAAGCGTAAATAAACAGATAATACTCGAAAAGGATGTTATCGATTTTTAAATCAATACAGGGACGCTGGATAAGCGCAGGAAAACAGAGTTAATCGACAAAATTATATTTATCGATTTGAAATAGAACCGAGAAAAAATATGTAGAATCAATTATTCGGGGACAAATAAATGTTTGTCGAAAAATACTGTGGGGTTGGAAAGTGAAGACAAAAGGATAAATCGAAAATGTATGCTTAATCGGAACGGTGTACACGATTTGGAAAAATTAGGTTGTAAATTAGTCGAATTGAAACTCAAAAAACCAATAATGCAAAAAAAAATGCACCCAAGTGTGAACGGCTCATTAACAGACGCGTATGGTAATAGCGTCGCAACCTTGGCGGCCAGTACTTACATACATATGTATTTACGCAAAATAAACAAACAAAAAAACTATTAAAAACGCAGATTTTTTAATTTTGTTTGTTTCACTTGGTTTTGTGTTTGAATGCAGCGACACTGATAGCTGCCGATGCTCAATTGCCGGTCCAGCAATTTATGTATATGGATATGTGCATATATGTATGCACGTATGATCGGCCAGCTGGAGGAGGGGGTTATCTTTATTTATCTTTTTGTTTTGTTGTTAATGTGCAGTGGATGGAAAATATGTATATTTGTGGTGGATGGAATATGATCTTTATTTATTTTCTCTTCTAAATGCCGCCGATTTGTGAACCAAAGGTGATCTCCATATGTATGTTCATAAATCGGCAATGTTCGTACATACCTATGTGCGTATGCAAATTGTGTAAGTATGTATGTACGTACATATACTACGGAATCGGTGTGGATGTATGGTTTTTTATGTATGGAAAAAAAAACTGGATGTAAACCCTTTCGGATATTGGCTGATTTAGAAAATAGGAAAGGGGCATATAGCCAAGTAAACACATGCATATATATACATATACTACTGCCCAAGTTGGTAGTGCTTTAAATAAATTGGATGCAGCAGTATATCTACATATATATGCATGTATGTACATACATATATGATGGGAATTTCGGCACCGTACTTATCTTGGCAAAAAAGGCGCTGGAATATCTCGGGCGAAGGACCAAAAATGAAGCTGTCGGGGCCGTGGCAAGTACAAGTCCAGAAAATTCCCAATAAAAGCAGGCAGAGGTTTTGGATGATGTTGATGAGGAGGACAAACGATCCGTCTTCTTTCGAATTTATTTTCAGAGTGATAAAAGAGAGGTACCACTAATATGGCGACAGGTACATTTTCCCCAGAGATGCTCCCCTGGCGATATTGCCCCTTGTTCAGCATGAACAATATATTTTAACCTTTATTTTGCTTTAACAAACTGTTCACCGGGTATTACATAGTCGTCGCCCTTACATTTTACGTTCCCATTTGGACATTTTTTTGTGGGCTTCCTTGACAATATCCTCGCACCTTTTGCTGATTTTTATTTCGATTTTATTTTGGCATTCGGCATTTTATTGAGGCCCTTTGCCACGCCCCCTGACTGGGAGCCCAACCTTTTCTCGTGATTATTACTATGACTTTGACGCCCGAGGACATTGCTCTGCTTTCGGTCCCAGATCATAAACGGCCAAACGAGCTTTTGAGCGTAGTTATGTATTTCTTTCGCCATTTCTGCTTGTTTTTATACATTTTTTTTTTGCCTATTTCGCCACGCCCACACTACAGACATACATAAACCCATATACATATATACATATATATAAAGAAAAAAATGTGTAAGTGGGCGGTTGCGTAATTTCCTAGTATGACCATAAAATATGGCAACAAATTTTATGCGCAAGGAAAAATCTCAATTATTTGGCAATCAATATTATAGAGAGACCCCAATGCCATTCGGCGGCCATAAAGGGCCTATAAATTATACAATAAATGTCATTGCCAATGTCCTTGAATCGGGGGGATTATTTAACATAATTTAAATTTATGTTTGTAATCGACGCCCGAGGAACAAGGTTGTCGACAGTTTGACCGGAAGTCGGTTTAGTGCGCCTCAGTCACTGTCTATGTCTCGGCATTGTCCTTTTCCCCGAGGACTCGTTAATCAGCGTTTTTTACGCTTGCCTGCTAATGATCTGTCTGTCGGTAGCTCCGCCCATGTCTGTGTCTCCGCTCGTGTCTGTGGCTGTGTGGGTTATATATCCCTGTAAAAGTAGCAGTTAAGGTATAGGTGTTGTGTCCGCCATTTTCCAAGGATCTGCGGCGGCTGCGAAGGCGACTTTATCGGCGGCTGTCCTCTCACTCTGAAATTAAGTTAAGTTATCCTTGGGGCCCCTGGCAAAGTCGTGACTATGGCAATTGATTTGCCGTGGGAAAAGGTTGTCCTTCTTCCATCTTAAAGTATGTGCGAAGGGAAATAAAAGTTGGAAAAGCAGGCTGTGAGGTAAGATTATCTGATGAACTTAAAAGTTCGGGGTCACCGGGCGCCCATTTCAACAGGTCAAATGAGAACAAATGAGGGTTTTTTTAGGGAAGTTCTTAGTATGTATTTATGTTTTAACAAAAAGGGAATTATTGTAATGATTTTGATACATTTGATACATAACTTTATTTTAATGTGAAAAGGAAAGCTATTAAAGTGCTGGTTTAATTAATTGTTATAAATTATTGATTACCTACTAGACTTTTCGAATATTTGCATTAATATAACTTTGATCTTTTTTTATTATAAATAATTATCATAAATATAAGTTATCAATATTTATTTCTTATTGTCAGTCATCTTTTAAATACACAAAAGATCATGCAATCAAAGTTATATTTTGGTAAACCTTTATTTATGCTTCCTTGTTTGTACTTTCTGCTCAAAGGACCTTAGACTTTGGCAAACTTAAGTTAGAGTTCTGTTTATTGAATAGTTTAATTGGGCATTTGGGGGCGGCCATTCGATTGGAGTAACCAGTGGGTTAAGGAGGTTGCTTTTGGGGAATAACAACGGCAAAATCAAACAACCTATTGGGCCAACAACTGTTGGCTGTTTCCAGGAAGTTGCAGGTTGTTCGTTCGACTCGTGTGACAAACATCTCCAAACGCACACACACACACACGCAAGTTTGTCTGTCATTTTGACACACTTTCAGCAATTACAACAATGTTTGTTTGCACACTGCTGCGGCTACTGCCTCTTCGTGGCTGCCTCCTCCCTTGGCCCGCTCCTAGATGACGATGGCGATGATGGTGACATACTTGCAAACACCTACATAACACGCCAAGCAACATTTATAGCAGTCCCCAAGCCGTGTGATATGGGGGCGGTGGTTAAGAGGAGGTTTCAGTGGGGTTTGTACAGGGGTTTTGTGGGGGTTTCAAAGGAGGTTTCATACAAGGTTTTAGGGGGGTTTCAGGACCCGTCTCGTTGGGTAACTCGATTGCTGTTGCATATTTGATTTCAATTGAATTGCCGTTGAGTGCTGTGCACACTCACTGGCATACACACGCACACACACACCGCATACAGGGGGTGGTGGGGGCTACGGCAATGCAACGCTTATTTGACAGTTGATTTGACTACATTTTCAAAGTGATTGACATTTGGCACATAGTATGGGCCAGGGAATGGTCATGGCTATGGAAATGGTCACGACTATGGAAATGCCAATGAGCAGCGGCGGTTCATCGATAGTTTCTATCCTCTTGGGGTGGGTAGCCACAAATAGGGTCAAAAAAGTATGAATTATCTTAGTTAATATTGTTGAATTTTAAATATATTATATATAGATAATGTAGGCATTTTTGCTGTGATTAATTTCTAAATTTATAAAACATTGAGTTGTATTCAATCTAAAAATACGTTAAATTTGTATGATTACACCTAAAACTTCACTAGAAACAGAAAACTAAAGTTTAAATGATACTAAGAATCAAGGAAAATATTTGGAAAATATTTACCGACTTAAAATTAAATCATATAAATAATAATTTTTATTTTTTAGGATAAAAGAGTCATACAAGGGATGCAGGGATATATCAAGAAATTCCAAGACACTTAAAAAAACATTTAATATACGAAATTATAATTTTTCTAGGTCCTGAACTACTCTTCTCAAATACATATATTTTTCAAGACATTTAAACTGAAAAATCATATAATTTCATCCCCAATTGTCCTTTTATTCCCGCCTTCGACTC